CTGGCCCCGCTGGTGGTTGGTTCGCCAACGATGTTTTCTTCTACGGAAACAAGCTCTTCCAGTCGGAGTTCATCAAGGTCATCAGCCCCGCCTCCGAGTCTATCATGCCCACCTGGCTCTGGAACCTGTGCAACGTCGGCGTTTCCTTGGCCGGTTACTACTGCGCCTCGTTCCTCATTGACAACAAGCTTTATGGCCGCAAGTGGATGCAGATGATTGGTTTCCTCATGGACTTCATCCTTTTCATCGTCCCTGCTTTCAACTTCGACTACTATACTCAGCCGGAGCACATCAAAGCCTTCCAGGCTATGTATTTCCTGAGTTCCTTCTTCAACCAGTTCGGCCCCAACTCTGTGACTTTCTTGGTCGCCGCTGAGGTCTTCCCCACCCCGATCCGTGCCACCGCTCATGGTCTCTCCGCCGCGTGGGGCAAGGCCGGTGCTCTGTTGGCTTCCGTGCTCTACAACTACATCGACACCCAGACCAAGTTCTACGTCGTGCCCTGGTTCGGTCTTGCGGGTATGGTCCTCACCTTCATCTTCCTTCCCGATACCACTGGTCTGGACTTGAAGGAGCAGGAGCGTCGCTGGATGTACATCCGTGAGGGGCGTGAGCATGAGTACCACGGCCCTGCTGTGCACCCGAAGCACCTGTCTCTCTGGGAACGCATTCGCGGCAAGGCCAAGAACTACAACGCCGAGCTTGATTACAAGCAGAAGGTCGAGGAGTATCGTGCCGAGTGGGAGGCTGCAATGTCCCGCCGCATCGCCGAGAATAACAAGGGCGAAGAGCTCGAACACGACACCGACGACAGTCTCCTGGAGGGCCACGTCCACGCTTACTTCCATCGCACCAGCCCGATGTTCCGTCCCATGGAGCAGCAGAACGGCAAGGCGGATAACTTCGCTTTGCCCCCTGCCGCTCAGGACGGCGACAGTGATTCCTTCCCCAATGAAAAATCCGAACATTGAGTTCTGATATAGTGATACCCTGTGTTGATTGCATTTGTACTGTTTGGATTGAAAAACTTTTCGGCCCATGATGGCTACTTTTCTTTTGCATATTATTTCTGGTCTTGGGTTATAGTCGATTCGAAGCGGAAGATGATGCCTATTCGAACATGGATTGTACCCGGCATATATTAGATTATAAATAGGATTAATGACCATCATCAATTCAACTCATCCAGAACGATTAAATGATACTCCGACAAATATCTACTCACGTAATACTTCCACTCTCGGCTCTATCGGGAAGCGATCTGCCCACGGTCCGCCTATCGCTAATCATCACGTGAAGCTTACTTGTTCTGCCGATTGTCCTGGGCGGAGCTAATGGCGGTCTACTGACTTAACCCACTTCCAAAATACTCCTGGGTTGAACATACATTCAAAACATACATTCAAGAGGCTAGGCCACTCATAGAGGATATTAGAGAAAGGAGCCTGGAATAATGCCAGTTTTTGCCTTCGGCTCCAACGGCTCTGGTCAATTGGGCATCGGGCACGACGAAGACGTCTCAGTTCCAACCAGATGTGACTTCGACGGTCCGGAGCCAACTTTATCTTCGTCAACAACACCAGGTTCTTCAATGTCCCGTTCCGTCCGGATTGCGGCTGGGGGCAATCATACTATCCTCCTTTGTCCAGACGGCACCGTCTATTCAGCAGGATGCAACGAGGACGGACGCTGCGGTCGACCTCCATCAAATGAGCCGCAGGTTCAATTCTGCAGAGTTACGGTTGAGGACGGACAGTCCTCGCACAGGAGATTTCAACATGTTGCAGCAACCTGGGAGGCTACAGTCCTAGTCACTGACGCGCCGCATGAGCATGGTGATCACGCGGGCGAGGACATGGTATATGTCCTTGGGTCGGGCGGGAAAGGCGAACTGGGACTCGGAGAAGGATGCACACGGGCTACGACGCCAGCCCGCATCCCGGACTTCCCGCCGCGAGGCACGCGAATCGTGTCGCTTGCGAGCGGAATGGGGCACACGGTTGCGGTCCTGTCGAACGGAGAGGTGTACGGCTGGGGGGCGGCGCGGAAGGGCCAACTAGGGGAGTCTGCGAAGGGGCGCAAGGTAGCATGGAGGCCGGTCAAGGTCGATCCTGTGCCGTTCTACGTGACGGATGCGGCGTGTGGCCGCGAGTTTACGGTCCTAATAGGAGACAAGGCTGCAGGACAGTTCACGGTGCTTGGGTCTGCGGATAACAAGTGGAATATTGTGTCTGGTTGTCCCGCGCCGCCGGATCGGCTGCGGGGATTCCGTGGTATCGCTGCCAGTTGGCATGGGGTCTATGTACATCAGGACGATTCTTCGCTGGTCGCCTGGGGGCGCAACGACCGCGGCCAATTGCCTCCGGCGGATCTGCTGAAGGCGAAGGAGATGGCAGTGGGGAGTGAGCATGTTCTTGCTCTTGTTGGGCCACGGGCTGTCGTGGCTTTTGGATGGGGTGAGCATGGGAACTGTGGACCGGACACGGATGCGCAAGGCAATGTGAAGGAGAGGTGTGGAGAGGTCCCGTTGCCTAGTGAAGGAGGTAACGAGATTGTTGGACTGGGCGCTGGGTGCGCGACAAGTTGGGTTATCATGTCTTGACGGGAAGCTGCTGGTTTGGATGGACGGACACCGAGAATAAAGGCTGTGCCTAGTCAAAAAGGCCCAGGCCGTGCAGCTACAGAGCGTCAGCTTACGTATTCAGGGGGGTGAACGGCCTCTTTACCTGGGACATGCGTTGTGTTGGGGGAATACCCATTTCCTCCTCTCGCCCGGACGGAGGCTGTTGTTGCATGCTGGGTTCATTGTCCCTGAGACCGGGCCCGAGGCTCGCGTTGAAGGTTTCCTAGAGGTTCCGATCAGCGGCAGGTTACACGGGGACGACTCCCTGGTACAGACCTGGTCAGCTGTTGCGTCCCAACCGAGAACATCTTGGGGTTCTTCATCTTCGTCTTCGTTTGGCACATCCCACTGCCGGTCATCGTCCGCTGGTACAAAGAGACTGTCGAAGTTGATCGATGGCGGCGGCCGCTGGCTTGCCGTGTTTGACTCCGTGCCGCGGGTCGAAGTCCCCGTGAGAGGGCGTATCGACCGGCTGCGTGGTGGGGGCATCTGCCTCGCGTCTGAAGCTGTGTTGGTCTGGGTGAAGTGAACGGGAGCGGGTGTTTGTCTGGCGGATAGCTCTGGCGCGGGAGCACGGGAAGAGGCTGGAGCGTCATCGCCGCCGGACTCGCCCCTGGTCATTAGAGTAAATTCCGCTTTCACGCCGCCGAAGCCGTAGGCGAGCTGCAGCGGCCGACAGGGACGGGTGTATCGGGCCGTTATCATTGTACCTGCGGTCTCCGCATGCGCAATCGCCGCTTTGAAATCCTTGAGAGCGATGGCGACGTGAAGATTGTCTTCAGCTAGGAAATGGTCGAAATCCTTCTTGTCTATAGCCACCGAGGTGTGCACGGGCTGTCTTAGAATCTCTATAGACTAGTCAGTAAGGATATTTCAAGTCACGCTTTCTTGTCCTGTACCTTTTCCGTCTGTGATCTTTGTCGTGAAGCTCGTGAATATCGCCTTGCCACCTTCCGAGTAGATGTCGAGCTGCTCTGCCGACGGACTGAAGTGGTCCGTTATCTCTCTTAGAAACTTTGGATCAATCGACCACTGGTTGGTGGTCGTGCTCCGGTCAAAGATGGCGTGATTGACAGTAGCCGGTTCGTAGATAAGTTTGTACGATTTGATAACGCCTGGATAGTGTTAGCTGTGATCATGCATTAAGCACGCGTTTCCATACCCAGCCCACAGACCATCCGGATGACGAGCTTGCACTCTGCCTCGTCAGTCTCCTCATGGAGCTCCACCTCGCAGCGTTCAACTGCAGTGTCTTTGTCACGTCCACTGGTCCTTCCCTTGAAGACTGAAAGCAAAGCCTATGAAGTTGGACGTCAGTTACGCGGAGACGCGCTGCCCATAAGTTGATCAGGATCTGTCTCACCTTTAGATATATCTCGCAGCAAAATTTATCTGGATGAGGGTTCCTGCCGCTTGCTACCCCAAAAGAGTAGCTTTCAAAAAAGCTGTCGGCATCAAAGACAAAGGCCGAGTACGCGGTCTTTGATGAGTTGAGCACGCTCAGACGGAGCTACAACGCGTCCTTAGCCATCACCCGTCGTACATATCTCCGTATAACGTTATAAGACACCTACCACGTCGTACTCGGCCTCAATGGCCACGGTCTCATGGAATTTAGCCAGACAAATGAGTGCATCGTGTAGCTGGAACAATGCCTCTGGGGCAAGCGAGAAGGTCAAGGTAGCCATAGTTGTCTCTCGAAGAAACGCACTTGTTTTTATGCATGTAATTCAAACAGTGTACCATCTTAAACCCGACTCGCCTGCTCAACTTCTTGTCTATCGACGAGGATTCCCGTAAAGTAGAAATCCAACCCCGTTCACGTCAGCAAAACATGCCCGTGATTACATAATCCAACATGCTTCGCCTGCCTTCTTTAGTTCAGCTACTTGCAGGCACAGCTGAAGAAGCGATTATTTATCTTGCCGCTGTTTGCCTCTCCAGCTCGCGTGAAGATAGCAGATACGCGTCAATACGTGATAGACAAGGGCCAGAGAAGACGCTGCGCGTCAAGACCATCGCCCTCCCCGGTTGTCCGTCCGCCCTTGACGCCAAGATGACGACGTTCGCATTGGCCGGCGACACCCTGTATATGATCCTCGACATCTTGGGGGATGAGAGAGACTATAACAGCCTATTCCAATGCGCTCTCGCATCGAAATGTTTTACAGAGCATTCCTTGGCTGTCTTGTACAAGTAAGGACCGTGCGATTCCGGAGTTTGTCGCGCGCCCTTCACTGATAAGGAAACGCCAGGCTTTACAATATCTCGCCAGTACGGAGCGGAGGAGCCGAGGATGAACAACTCAGATTCCCCCGGATGACCGCTACTCGCGGAGATGTTGCTACCTGGAAATGGGCTTTGATGTGGCGCTCCATTGTGTTGTCGACCTTGAACCAGACATACCTACCCTATTACACGTACATTCGCTATCTGGATTACGATGACTTGATTGGCCTTCTGGATGCCCCGGGGTTCACCGGGAAGATCATAGAGTAAGTTTTAATGGCGAAGTCGAAGTCTCAAGCTCATGGTTTCTAACACTCTGAAGGGATTTCTTCACGCCAGAGCTCGTTGAGTTCCTGGGGCCGCAGTATGAGACCAAAGGGAGCAAGCGACTTCGGTCATCGAAGATGTTGAAAGGAAATAGCCAGATACCGATCAAGTTATGCTCGGGTCAGTAACACGATTTCCAAATCAGAGCCTGAAAACTGATTATATGAAGAGATCGTGAGAAAGGCCAAGTCGATTCGAGGGATATCTTGCAATGGTGAGTTCCGCGGCTGCTTAGACTTATGGTTCTAATCTCACCTCATATAGTTCAACCCTCTGTGTTATCAGAATGGCTTGAACATCTGCCATTGTTGCAAACCATGACCATCTGGTCAGGTTATGCTTTGACACATCAGGCTGGCCAAAGAATCCACGACCACTGCCCGGAGTTCAAACAACTTACGATATACGGATGGTATGCGAAGTGTCCATTTCTTGTGGCTATGCTGACCATCGTACTAGGAACAACGGACAATCCAGAAGCGCTGAAGACGATTCTGAGACATTTTTGAGAGCATTACGGCCGAACTCTCTGGAATATTTCGAGATACTCAGCTTCTCTCAATTGGGACCCCGCTCCATTAGAGCTTTAGAGACTCAATCAGCGTCATTATCCGAGTTAAAACTGACAAGCCTTACAATTGAGACCATCGCAGAATTAGGGTCATTGCCTGAACTGCCGAAACTGAAAGTGCTTGTACTTACCGATTCTTCTCCAGCGGCCCGAACCGAAGAGTTTTATTCGGTTGTCACCAAAGTCGCAGATTGGATACGGAGTTGCAGAGCATTGACCCGTCTTGAACTTCGGAGATTCGTGGATGATCCTGCCCTGCTAGCACAGGTTCTGACCGATGATAAAGTCCGCTTGTCCATCCTTTATCTCGAAGGATATACTATGGCTGGAAGCCACGCCTTTCATGAGGCTCTTGCTTGTCAAGACACCTTGGAAACTCTTTATCTTCGTGGTGAACCAAGCGACTCCCCAACAGATAATGAATTGCTTGTGCAAGCGATACAACAGTTGAACAAGTTGCGCCAACTGGAACTTAAAGACATATCAGACTGGTTTACAACTGACTATGTTATCACGTTGACGCCCTATCTTCCTCATCTAGAGCGCCTCTGGATTAGTGGAGACCATTTTAGCGACGATGTATGGGATGCTTTCTTGTGCCTACCCAAACTGCAGAGCCTGTCCATTCAGGCGTTCAGTGACTTTAGTGCGCAAGGCATACTTGACTTCATCTCGCAACTGGGACCGGGAAATAAAGGCTTCAGTCTTTCGATCTTGAACGCATTGTCCGACAAGAATCTTGCAGAAGAAGCCCAAACTGTGATCCGCGAGACGCTGAAGGTGTCATTGGATGGGTCGTTCGACTTTGGTTTACGGCGTGGTAAGTGTTTATTGTTCATTATGAAATGGCAATTTGGGGGTTACTGATCTATTCATACAGAGGAGGATTCCAGTGAAAACAGTTTTGACCGTGACCAGGATGACTAGGTGCGGTCAGGTATGCGCTTGGTAGTCGGGCAAGGAACGTGTGATTCCATTAAGCTGGGATACGAGAGGTCCCATTAGGAGGTTTACGTGTACTACTACTACATGACTAAAAGAAATCAAAAAGGCCACTTGAGGTATGGAGTATTTCGACATTTTGAACGAAGAAGCTTGGAATATAACGGAGGCTCCCCAGTCAACAAGGCTACAGACTTATAATCGAATTCAGCCTTGAGACTCTACATGACTCTTTGCTTATTGTATGCTTCAATTTAGGATGGGCTCAATACATTTAGACATTAGGATTATATTCCCACAATATAACTATCATACCACATCATGGATTTCTCGATCAGCCGGCTTATAAGCCTGAGAAGAGTACGTCGGTCAGAGTAAGCTTCTCGCATTTCACCGACTTGACCTGAATCGGAGGGGAGGTGCTTTCGGTTGTAGCAAGCCAAGGAAAATTCCGGTCACCGGTGCAATTCTTCTCACTGGACCACAAGTTTGTTTAGTAGATGCTATGGCAGCAGTAGTTTAAGGAGACTCACGTCCAAGAGTAACAGATGGTGCGCCCGTCGCCTGACCTGTCGATCTTGCGCACAGGCCTGAAAAGTCATCAGCGATCTATGCAAAAGATTGAAGAGAACTTGGCGCAGTCTCACCCATCGAGGTCTAGATTGGAGCATTGACCCAGCTTAAGATGCGCCGTTTCCAGTTGGTCATCCACGGTAAATTTAAGCTACATTAGTCAGTATCGATGCGGGTCGCGTTGCTCACGGATCATGGATGGTGCTGTACCTGAATCTCTTCAGCCTTCCCGTGGACGAGCGGTGTTGCGCTTGAAGAAGTTGTCCACAGAGTGAGCGTAGTAAAGAGGACTTGCGAAAGGAGCATCTTGAACTTGGCGCGTGTAGTCGCAGATTGGTGTCAGTCGGGCTGCTGATATCCTGTAGGAAGGTGGAGAACTCAGGATAGATGACAGCCAGGAACGACGAGCCTATTTATGCCTCGTCGCGCTCTCAGGGCAAGGCATGCCAACGCGATCTCTCCTCCAGCCTGGGGATGATCTACAATGCCAGTCGAAAGTCATTTTCTACACGTCGATCTAGATACAACTCGGTAGGACCGCGAGGTCTCAGAACTACCCGAGCAAATGGGCGCCAAAGAGGAAGAGAGAATGAGCCCCTTGCATGCCGGCTTTGATTTGTAACGGTTTTGTACGAGCGAGAACTGAGGATAATAAGAAGATCTGGGCGAACTCACTCTGAGCGTCTGGATGGAATGAAGGGACGAGAGCCAAAACCAGGACGTGATTGGCCAGTGACGGGATCTAATAATGCCCAACGCGGATTGGTGGGCAACGCGTCCCTTTCGCGTGAGGCGGGCGGAGACGCGTCTTCTCTCACTGTCTCCGCGCGCCGCTTCCCTCCCTGCCCGAAATCCACGTCTGTCTGCAGATTGTTTTGCTCACCCACAGCCATTCACCCCCCATCGATCCATTCCTGAAGGCCTGTATCACCAATTCATGGACCTACTCACCTACGCCTAATCATTCACATACCGCCATGTCCTCCCACCGAGCGAAATTGGCGGAGCTGCGGGCTCTCCGCGCCGCAGGCAAGAAGCGCCTTTCGACATACGAAATCGAGGAACAGGGCGACATTTATGAAGAGGTCGATGATGAGGGGTACAAAAAGGTTATCCGCGATCGACTAGATGAGGATGATTTTGTCGTCGACGATAATGGCGCTGGATACGCTGATGATGGCCGAGAGGTCTGGAACGAGCCCACGGCAGGTTATTATGACGACAGCGAAGACGACGAACTCCCTGCGCGCGGGAAAGCAGCTAAGCGGAAGCGTGAAGAAGAGAAGCAGCGACAAGAGAAAATCAACAACGGAATCTCGAAATATTTCAACAAAGGGAACGCGACAACGACCTCGAAACCCAAGGTATGATAGATCTCTTTTGGAACGTCAGATTTAAAGAGAAACATCCTTGGCTGACTGTTGTCTCAGCCGGTTGTTACTGCTGAAGACGATGCTTTCATGGCCGATCTCCTCGGAGAGGTCGACACTAATGTTGTCTCCAACCATGTCCCGACGCAAAATGTGATCAAATCCGAAGCCCGCCGCAAAGTCCGCATCCTCTCGCCCCCGCTTTCAGACCGAACGCGCCTACCAAAGAAGGAACGCAAGGATGAGAATAGCGACCCAGTGTCGCCACCTGCTCAAGAGCCCGAGCTCAACCTCGATAATGATGACGGTCCGCTCTCTACCGCAGATGATGACATACCAATGAGCGACCCGATGCCGTCATCGCCACTCAGCAAGGCCGTTGAACGAAAGACAGCGACTCCGGTCAAAAAGGAGGAGTCCGATGATGAAGAGAATGACCTGATGGAAATTGCAGAAGCTACTGGAACACAGGAAGCAAAGGCAGCAAGTGTGAACATGGCGGGGACCCGGCCGCCTCCCAAACTCAAGCGGGCTTTGCCCACCCCTGCAAGCTCCTCTCCTGCAAAGGCTGCTCCCGATCTCGAAAACGCTTCCTGGAACGATGTCCGGAGCAAGCTGAACGTCCTTAGCAGCCCAGCAACAGAGTCGCGCACTTTTGGCAAGCTCCGTGCTCAGGATGTTGTGGAGGAAGATGGGAGCCTGCGCATGTTCTGGATTGACTTCACAGAGGTCAATGGTAGTCTCTGCTTGTTTGGAAAGGTCAAAAACAAGCATACGGGCTCCTTCGCTAGCGCCTTCGTTAAAGTCGACAACATCCTCCGAAAACTCTACTTCCTACCCCGTGAGAACAGAGTCAAGCACGGCCGTGAGACCGATGAGGAGGTCGACATGGAAGATGTGTACAGTGAAGTCGACGAGATGATGTCACGGCTCAGGGTTGGGATGCACAAGATCAAGCCATGCACTCGCAAATACGCTTTCGAAATTCCTGGTATTCCCCGAGAGGCGGAATACTTGAAATTGCTTTATCCATACGATAAGCCCGCGCTGCCCATGGATGTGAAAGGGGAAACCTTCTCCCATGTGTTTGGGACAAACACCTCGTTGTTTGAGCAGTTTGTCCTTTGGAAGAACATCATGGGTCCTTGTTGGCTAAAAATTGAGGAAGCAGACTTCTCTGCTGTCAACAATGCATCTTGGTGCAAGTTCGAATGCCAGGTCTCCAAGCCGGGACTCATCTCCCCAGTCGTCGATTCTGAAAATTTGGACGCACCGCCCCTGACGCTGATGAGTCTTTCCTTCCGAACGCAATTGAACGTGAAAGAAAACAAGCAGGAGATTCTGGTCGCAAGTGCTCGGGTGTACGAGAATGTCTCCCTCACTGAAACCACGCCCCCAGAGAAGCTTCCTTGCAAGACATTCACCGTCATGCGGCCTGTAGGTTCTTCGTACCCAGTGCATTTCGAAGCCGAAACGCGAAAGCAGCGTGGGACCTACATGCTCGAGAAGAGCGAACAGTTCCTATTGAGCAAATTCCTGGCATTGTTCGAGAAGATGGACCCTGACGTTCTGATGGGACATCAACTGCAAGAAGTCGACCTGAGCATCCTGCTCAATAGATTGAAAGAGAAAAAGACCCCCGGGTGGCATCGTCTGGGTCGGTTGAAGCGTGGAGAGTGGCCCAAAAACTTCAACAGGGGCGGAGGCTTCTTTGCCGAGAGGCATCTGATCGCTGGTAGATTGATGTGTGATGTCGCTAACGATATGGGCAAGGTATGTCATCTGTTTTTGGACCGGTATTACTCCTCCCTATTAATATACGACAGTCCCTTATGATGAAATGCCAATCGTGGAGTTTGACCGAAATGTGCGATCTGTACCTCGGACAGGGCAACACCCGGCAAGAGATTGACTGCGAAGCGGCACTGAAGACCTGGGCTACAACGAAAGATGGCCTCATGAACTTTGTGAACCACTGCGATGCCGATACTTACTTTGTCGCGGCTTTGGTACTGCGGCTCCAGATGCTGCCCCTTACCAAAGTCCTCACGAACATTGCTGGCAACTCCTGGGCGCGAACACTCAGCGGTACGAGAGCTGAGCGTAACGAATACATTCTACTGCACGAGTTCCATCGGAACAAATACATATGTCCCGATAAATACTCCTCGAGGCTTCAAAAAGCAGAGGAGAAAATTCAGGACGGTGACGAGGAAGACGGCGTGGACAAGAAGAAGAAGGACAAGTACAAGGGAGGTCTTGTGTTCGAGCCTGAGAAAGGTCTTTACGACAAATTTGTTCTCGTCATGGACTTTAACAGTCTGTACCCCAGCATCATTCAAGAGTACAACATTTGCTTCACGACCGTGGAGCGTACGGCAACGGTTTGTTCCCAACAAAAAAGGAACTTGGCAAATCACGACCACTAATTTCGTCCCAGGCTGAGAATGAGAACGAAGAGAAAGTACCTGAAGTGCCAACGTCCGATCAAGAGCAGGGTATCCTGCCTCGACTGATTGCTACCCTAGTTGGCCGTCGACGGGAAGTGAAGAAGCTGATGAAAGACAAGCGTGCTACTCCTGAACAGCTTGCTTTATGGGACACGAAACAGTTGGCTTTCAAGCTGACTGCTAATTCCATGTATGGATGTTTGGGATACACGCAAAGTCGCTTCTATGCTCGTCCTTTGGCTATGCTCACTACCTTCAAGGGTCGTGAGATTCTCAGGAGTACCAAAGAACTGGTCGAGTCCAAACAACTTAGAGTCATCTATGGTGATACTGACTCGGTCATGATTAACACGAACATGGACACGATCAGTGATGCGCTCAAAGTTGGAGATGAACTCAAGAAAGTCGTGAATGAACGGTACCGCCTCCTCGAGATCGATATCGATAACATTTTCCGGCGGTTGCTTCTACACGCTAAGAAGAAGTATGCCGCCATCAATATCACTGAAGTCGACGGCAAGTACGTGGATAAGTTGGAAGTCAAGGGCTTGGATATGAAGCGCCGTGAATACTGCGCCTTGTCCAAAGAAGCTTCCCAACGACTTCTGAACGAGGTCCTCTCTGGGGAAGACCAGGAGCTCGTCCTCGACCGGGTCCATGAATACCTCCGTGACCTCGCCCACAAGATGAGGGAATACACCGTCCCAGTTCAGAAATACGTCATCTACACGGTAATTTGCTCCGTTATTGATGAGTGGGAATGTTCCACTGACTCTGTCCACAGAAACTTTCCAAGCGACCAGAGGAATACCCCAACAAAGAGTCAATGCCTCCAGTACAAGTCGCCCTTCGTGAACTTGCGCGAGGCAAATCCGTCCGCCCTAACGATGTCATCTCTTACATCGTAACGAACGGCGATTCGGAGACCTCGTCTCTACCCCCGGCTAAGCGCTCATACACGCTTCAAGATGTCATGAAATCCGATAACGGTCTCAAGCCGGATATCGAATTTTACCTCCTGAAGCAAATCTTCCCGCCCATTGAACGTCTTTGTGCTCCAATCCCCGGGACCGATGCTGTTCGGCTCGCAGAATGTCTGGGTCTTGATGTCCGCAAGTACCAGATCAATAACTCTAGCGGGGGCAACCAACAGAATACGGACATCTTCCCACTGGAGTCTCAGATACCGGATTCCGTCCGCTTTCAGAATGCTGCGCGATTGACCTTGACATGTCGATTCTGCAAGGAGAAGTCCGTCTTTGAAGGACTGGTGACTTCCTCTCACATGTGTAATCCACATGGCATCGTCTGCCCGAACGAGTCGTGTCAGAAGCAGTTCTCGGTCTTGACGGTCGTCGCACAGCTGGAGTCCCAGATTCGTGCTCAGACGTCCAAATACTACGAGGGCTGGCTTGTCTGTGACGACTCGGCATGTGGTAACCGCACACGGCAGACCAGCGTCTATGGACATCGCTGCCTGGGGCCACGAGGTCACGCAGAAGGCTGCCTTGGACGAATGACCTACGAGTACTCTGAGAAGCAGATGTACAACCAATTGTTATACTTTGCTGGTCTGTGGGATGTGGACAAAGCCCGGGCGGCCGCACAGAAAGAGGCCAGTGGCGAGAAGAAGGACAGCGTTGCTGCCCTGGCAGAGTTCAACCGTGTCCGGTTTGGAACTGTCAAGGGGGTTGTTGACGGGTACTTGAAGAAGTGTGGACGACAATGGGTAGAGATGGACAACTTGTTCCGATTCATGCTGCCATAGTTGTGCCTTGGTCCTGTGGCGTAATAACGATTGGGATCTGTATATACCAGGGAATTTTCGGATAGTTTGGGCTTGGGTTATTTGTGAATTTTCATGTACAGCGAGGCAGTTGTTTTGTCTACCTCTTATCATAGAATGATTGCAATGAAGAAGAATATGCATGATATACCGCCCATCCGGATGATTGTGTAGCTTCATACCGAGGAGGACGCTGCTTATCTTATCGGGACGCGCAAAAACAGGCCAAAGTCCCCCGCCTCCCCACCATGGGAACAAACCGACTCTCTGCCATCCATCTTCTCATGATCTACCAATTAACGACTCTCTGAGACTACGTGGTGCTCGACTTCCTCAGGTCTAGCCCAACAGATCTAGTCTCCATACAAGTTCATCAACCAGCGGGAGTTTCCTCCCTGTGCCACTGTCATGTCTGCGAAGCGGGTTCTCGTCATCGCAAGGGTCCGACAGCTCGGGCGGCGCGTACGTTGCATATACCACCATTGCCATGTACAATCAGCTAATGCTGCATCCTCGGATACAGCGGACTAGAAGCCGATCAGAGGGTCCTGGCCGCCCATGGCTGTTATGCTCTCACCGCAACCACGGGTCTGACAGCCCAGAACACTCTCGGAGTGCAGGACATCTTTGTCATCCCGGCCGAATTTGTCAAAAAACAAATCAATGCCGGCTTGGAGGACGTCGGAGCAGACGTGGTTAAACTAGGTAGGGCTATATGCTACCTGGTCTCTACACCATAAACTAATCCAAGGAAGGCATGCTCTCCTCGGCTGAGACGATTGACATCATCGCGGAGACGTTGACGACGCATCAAATCCCGTATGTTGTGTTGGACCCGGTACGCAATCTCTCTTTACCTTGGTCAATGAGTCACAAAATGGTCTAATTTGGACACAGGTCATGGTGTCCACGAGTGGATCGCAGTTACTGCCAGAACAAGCCGTCCAGGGCCTGCGGACAAAGTTACTCCCCCTGACCACGATCCTCACGCCCAATATCCCAGAAGCACAGCTCCTCCTGAAAGACTGTGGGGTCGATGCTCCCGAGCCAGAGGACGTCGCTGGTCTCATTCAGCTAGCGAAGCAAGTTTGTTCGCTCGGCTCTAAAGGAGTTCTCCTCAAGGGCGGCCATTTGCCGCTTACGAAAGAGCTCAAAACAGCACGTTCTACGGAAGAGGCGACGACTGTTATCGATGTCCTTTATGACGGGGAGGACGTCACTCTTTTTGAGACCGACTTCCTCGTATCCAAGAATACGCACGGCACCGGTTGCTCACTTGCGTCTGCCATTGCGGCTAACCTGGCCCTTGGCAAGGACATGAGATTGGCGGTCCAGAGTGCCGTTCGATTTGTCGAGGCCGGCATCAAAACCAGCTTTGACCTGGGTAAGGGTAGTGGGCCGATCAATCATTTCCACTCGATACATACGATTCCTTTTGCGCCGTACGTATCTCTCATTTCTCTATTGGACGATCTGAATGTTATTTGCTAACATTTTCATTACTAGCGGCCGATTCATCGAGTATGTTTTAGCTCGCCCCGATGTTCGCTCCGTGTGGAAGCGGTTTACGGAGCACGACTTCGTAAAGGGTATGGGAAATGGCAAATTGCCAGTAGAGCGCTTCAAGGAGTATCTGGTACAGGACTATCTCTACCTGGTATTGTTTCCATGTTCCTCGCTAAACGCATGTTGTCTCTGGAGCTGACAAATTGTTAGGTTCATTTCGCAAGAAGCAATGCTCTCGCGGCATACAAAGCGAAAGACATGGATTCGATTGCTGCGGTATGCACGTCCCCGCATCTGAGGTTATAACGCATCCCGCTGATCTATTATTTCTTCAACGCAGTCGTCTAGCATTGTCCTTCATATTCAACGCGAGACGGCGTTGCACTTGGATTATTGTGCATCATTTGGTCTGTCCAAGGAGCAGATGGAGAAATATCCCGAAACTATCGGTAGGCAAGGACCCTTGGGCGTGCTTTATCTGTTGCTGACGAAGATAACCTCTGGGCTCGCAGCGTGCACGGCGTATAGTCGATACATCCTCGACGTGGGCCAATCGGAGGATTGGCTCGCATTGCAGATGGCTCTTGCACCGTGCTTGATCGGATATGGAGCTATTGCGCAGCGGTTACATGGTGACAAGGAGACACTCCGGGAGGGGAACCGTTACTGGAAGTGGATTGAGAACTATGTGGCAGACGACTACACGGAAGCCGTACGACTGGGCTCGGGTGAGTAGTGATTGACTCTGACTGTTGGACTATGGCTAATACTTTGGTAGAACTATTGGAGACCCACATGCGACAGGTTTCCCCGAGTCGAATAGAAGAGCTGGTCAGGATCTTCATCCGGGCCACAGAGTTGGAGATCAGCTTCTGGGACATGGGGATGGGCGAGCAGGTGTGAATCAGAAGCTTTGTGAAGTTTGTTGACAGGAATCAGGGGTTTTTGTGTGAATATGTAGAATTATAGAGTATATACGGATCTAGAAGCAATGCTTTATGTTGCACAATATTGCAATATCGCTATGAACGTACTCTGTAGACTTTTTCACTTGTGTTCGTCTCTTCTGCGGTGTTGTTGGGGCGGTTTTTCCCTTTGGGCCTCTTCCTTTGGATGGCTCCGACGCTAATCCAAATCGGGTAGGTGTCGCCTCCTCCAGAAACTTTTTTTTCCTTTTTTTTCGCCTCCTTCATTTTTCCTTCCCGCCGGCGGCTGCTTTTTTCTTCCCTCTCCTTTCCTCTTTTCTCCTCTCGCCATCCTCTCTCTCTCTCTTCAACCTCATCCTTCTCTCTCTTTTTTGTCTTCCACCTCAGACACCTTTCTTCTCTCTTTCTCTTCCATCTCGGGAGGTTACTTCGTTTTCTTTGGAAAATCCTAGTTCTCTTGTTTTCCCTCTCCATCGAAGACTCCATTCTCTGACACTTCATCATGTCTTACGGTGGCGGTTATCAGCGCGATTCCTATCGGTAAGTCCTTGCTTTCTTTGGGCTCATAATCAATAGGTAGTTATCAGAGTGTCAGTACCGGATGAAAGGATTCGTTCTCTCTCAGTTGAACCTACCAGCCAATGCCATCGTGTATCGCTCCGATGTGAGCGCCTAGGTGGCAAAGTCGGCATCGGTCTTCAACAACAATCAACCGGTACTAACATACTGAACTACTATTACTCCTTCATGAGCCTTGGACATCACATCGTTCAGATGCTGACTTTTTTTGTTGAAGCTCCAGAGGTGGCGGTAGCGGTGGCTATTCCAACGGCTACTCCAACGGATACAGTGGTGGTGATGGCTACAGCGGTGGTGGATACAGCGGCGGCGGCGGCTACGGCGGTGCCCGTGGTGGCGGAGACCGCATGTCCAACCTGGGCGCCGGTTTGAAGAAGCAGGATTGGGGTATGTCTTATCAATCCTTTACGCCTTGGAACATCTTTACTAACTCTTCTAGATCTCGATGCTCTGCCTAAGTTCGAGAAGTCTTTCTACAAGGAGCACCCTGATGTCGCCAACCGCTCTCAGCGCGATGTCGACGAATTCCGCAAGAAGCACGAGATGTCTGTGCAGGGCCGCAACGTCCCCCGCCCCGTTGAGACCTTCGACGAGGCTGGTTTTCCTCAGTATGTGCTCGGTGAGGTCAAGGCTCAGGGTTTCGAGCGTCCCACCGCCATTCAGTCCCAGGGTTGGCCTATGGCCCTCTCCGGTCGCGATGTCGTCGGTATCGCCGAGACGGGTTCCGGAAAGACCCTGACCTACTGTCTTCCCGCCATTGTCCACATTAACGCCCAGCCTCTCCTTGCTCCTGGCGACGGCCCCATCGTCCTCGTCCTTGCTCCTACCCGTGAGTTGGCCGTCCAGATTCAGACCGAAATTACCAAGTTCGGCAAGTCCTCTCGCATTCGCAACACTTGCGTCTACGGTGGTGTTCCCAAGGGCCCTCAGATCCGTGACTTGAGCCGCGGCGTTGAGGTCTGCATTGCTACTCCCGGTCGTCTGATCGATATGCTGGAGGCCGGTCGTACCAACCTTCGTCGTGTCACATACCTGGTTCTTGACGAGGCCGATCGCATGCTGGACATGGGTTTCGAGCCGCAGATTCGCAAGATCATTTCCCAGATTCGTCCTGACCGTCAAACTTGCATGTGGTCCGCTACGTGGCCCAAGGAAGTTCGTCAGCTCGCTTCGGACTTCCTGAACGACTACATCCAGGTTAACATTGGATCCATGGACCTGTCCGCCAACCACCGCATCACTCAGATCGTCGAGGTCGTGTCCGATTTCGAGAAGCGCGACAAGATGATCAAGCACCTCGAGAAGATCATGGAGAACCGCGGCAACAAGATTCTT